TTCAAGTCCTCATATTCGATGATTTTAACTTATTATTTTTGTCTTATCCAGAGACTACCTACCTCAACACGCTGCAGAAGTTTTCGGTTCTGCGGGCAAACACGATTATCCGCATCTGATTGCTGCAGTTGCGCCTCTCCTTATCGGGAAACCCGTCGCTGATGTAGTTCACTTACTACCCATGCACATCCTTGTTCCTTGGGTAAGCCCCGAAATCTTTGGCTCGCAATGACCTGTACTATGCCATCTGTAGGCTATCTATCAAGTGCAGTGGGCGGTATCCTTGACAAAATCGTTGAGCCTTCATCCGAACATGCACAATGGCAGTTGGGTCGGTGATTATGACACTGAATGCATCCAGAAAATTTTTCAGGTGCAAGCTCAACTCCCCAAAAACATCTCGTTTACAAGTAGTCGATACTCTTTTCCAAGAATTTTGTGATAGGGAAAATCGGTGGCGCTGCTGTCATTACTGTAATTCGGACTTTTACAAATGGAGGGATGCTATCAAAAACGAGGTGGCACAAATTCCGGATTTCTTGACATTTTGGAAGAGATTCCGTACTCAAACGTAGGATGAACCAAGTTCGTACTTTATATAAAAAGGGACTCAAGGCTCCGTGCATATTGAGATGGAATTATAATTATCAGCTTCGTTGCTCAAAACCGTGACCTCAACTCTCATGGACATCGCGGTCGCATGGCATGGTATGGCAAGGTCTAAGAAACCTTCGGAGAGTCGCTAATTCGGACATTAGGTACAGTGTTCTTACTCGTGAGACATAAGTTCCCAAAGTTAGATGCTGCAAAGCGACAAAGAACTTGAAAATGCAATCAGAACGGTTCTTCACTGCTGATCTATTGCCAAAATCTCCTCAACTCGCTTCACCTTCCCTTCGTTACCTGTTCCGGGCGCGATTTCTCGGTCTATGCGAGTGCCGATACGGATGTCTGTAGCGATGCGGGGAGCACCCTGCCCGTGAACTGCAAGATGGCAGTCGTGAATTGCTTTAGTAACTTCGGACCATGGTCCTTCTACAGGTGACAAATTTATGACAAAGGGAGCGTAAAATACCCAGTCAGCTCGAGAAAGAAGGGTAGTGATTCGAATCACAGACCCAAGTTTGTTCCGTATCCGCTGGTACCGAAATACAGTGAGATACTGCCCCACTTAAAAGAACAAAAGAGTCGTCTTACTGCATCTGGGGGTTGAGCGAATCAGACAACTCCGTGAACGTTGAGAGCAAATTCGCGGTATCTACTTGCCTTGTATTGGAGACCCGACTTCTCCAAGATTCTTTGGCACTCAGCTATGTATCCCGCAACCTAGGTATAACGTAGATAAACATCAACTTAACTGCTCCTGCGGCTCGACAGCCACGTACAGATGGCTCTCCAGTGCCCATCGGGATGAGGCAAAAGTCTATACTCGATGGGCTGAATATATCCAGCATAATCCAAAGAACAACATACCAGCGACTGCGTACAAATCGTCCGGCATCGAAAGACGGAAAGAAAAGGAACAGGATTTGTGACGTCACACCATCATATGCATATCTTATCACGCCTCCATCTTACCTTATCATTCTTACTTGCTAGAACCAGCTTTGACATCGGATTTGCAAAACAAAAGTCAAGAACGTAACAGAAGTCTCATCTCTTGGATCGATTCAAGGCTATGAGGGGATAGTGAGCCTTTCTATCTGAACTTGAACCTCCAGCATGGATTTGCTCGTCCCACCACAGTTCTCAGCAATCTGTTATATTCAGTAGTAAGCATTGATATCGGCAAACATCCGATGGAGAGGTAATTCCCTTGATACAATTGTATAGGCGGTTCGTTTCCATTTTTCCGAGAGTAGCCGTTTTCCTGTCCAGGATGTCACGAGCAATCATCTAGCAGCTGTATAAAGCAGCGAGAAACTGGGTGAATCGTAACTCAGAAAGATGTTTTTCCTCTCTATTCTGCAAGCTCGCAGTAGTGCTTTGGACCTCACTCTTAACTACTCCAGCCTCCTACGAGGTGTATTGGTTGCTGTACTATCGGCAAGCCTTTGGAGTATATTCTTCAGCTCGAAGAAAAGCAGGACCGCGTCTGAGTTGAGTCAGCTTCCAGGTCCAACCTCCATATCCTGGTTCCAAGGCGAGTACATGTACTTTTCAATTTACTCATGACTTCATCCATATTTCAGGCAACCATTCACAGCTTTTCAACCTTAGGAACGGGTGGGAATTCCATAAACTGCTAGCGGTAAAATGTACGCGGAACTCCGTCTCTTATTTATCATGCAGAATTAATAACCATCGATCAGATGGACCCGCCATCCAGGTCAGGAGTTTTCTGAGGGTAAATTTAGACCGCGTACGGGAAGAGGATACATTTTCTGAGTTCTTTCCCAGAAAAGACAATTTTATACTTTCGATCCCAAAGCTATGCATCATATTCTAGTCAAGGTATACTCTTCGCAATGATCTCTCGAGCATTCATTACAAAACTCACGGTTGATCTATATTAGGATGGCCTTTCTTACGAACCCCTTCGCATAGGGTACGCGAGGCTTCTTTCTGTCTCGAGGTCTTAATCAATAGCTGATTTGGCCAGGTCTGGAGCTGTCATGTTCGGCAAGGGCCTTCTAACCACAATTGGTGGTCCTCACCGTAAACAGCGCAAGCTACTCAACCCCGTTTTCTCTATCGCTCATATGCGCTCTGTTTGTGAGTCTTTGGCGGCTCTCCTACAGACCGTGGTTGACATCCGCGAATAGTGCCTATATTTTATAACGTGGTCGATCGGGTAGGCTGGCATTTATCTTTCGTAGATGGAGGGCATTCCTTAATCATCCTTCGACGATAGCTGGAAAACGCATTGTCCGAAAGAGTACGAAATGGTCCTCGAGAGGTAAGTGTAGCTATCGTTGTTTTCCTTCGCAATATGTATGCCTTTTCATCGATGCGGCAGATTGATTTACTAGCATGGATGGCCCGCACCGCGCTAGAACTTATCGGTCAATCTGGGTTTGGATACTCTTTTGACGACATGAAAGACGACGAACCGAAGGACAAGTATAGCATTGTTATCAAGAGTCTTACGTAAGTATAATAACGAGAATTCTCATGAATGCACGATAACTCACAGAAATGATGATACTCTATAGGCCAGCATTGGTCAAAGTGAGCCTCGGACGATTCTACATCGTCCCGTTGGCCATCAAAGTCCTGCCTGTTAGCCTTTGCAAACTAATTATGAACGTCACACCTTGGAAGACCCTACACGACGTCAGAGATATGCTCAATTACATGTGGACCCTATCCGTGAAGATATACGAAGACAAGAAACGCGCTTTGGAAGAAGGAGATGAAGCCGTTTCGAAACAGATTGGGCAGGGGAAGGATCTCCTCAGTATCATGAGTAAGCTAGGTCATCTTGATATGGTTTTTTTTTGTCTTAAGCGTCACTCTTCACAGTGAAAGAAAACATGAAAGCCGAGGACGAAGATAAACTGGAAGAGGATGAAATTATAGGACAAGTTAGTTCTTTGACATCCTCAACTATGCCTTAGCACTGATCCCTTGATGTATAGACTACGTGAGTTTGAAACGGTAGCTTCGATGGAATCTTCTCAGACTTTCTTCCTCAAGGACATTCGTATTTGCAGCCATGGACACTACCTCTGTGAGCACTGAGCATCCCTTGCGAGAGCTAGTAAACGCGTCCTAATCGTACGCCCGCTGTAAAGAACGCCATGTCTCGTATTCTCAATCTCCTGTGCCTTCATCCGAATGTTCAAGACAAGCTACGAAAAGAAATCGTGGATGCTCGAAAGGAACGAGAAGGCAGGAGATTGACGTATGATGAGCTGGTCTCCCTCCCATATTTGGATGCCATATGCAGAGAGACTTTGCGGTTGTGCGTGTATCTATTTGGTGATCCTTGAAGTTGTTTTCATTCCAGCTCTTCGGAATAGGTATGCGCCCGTATCTTCAATGTTCCGCAAGTATGCTGCAGTTATGCTCGTACTCATGATTATGGTCGCTCATGGTTTCTTTCAATGGTTCAGGTGTACCGACGACGTAATAGTGCCCCTGTCAAAGCCAGTACGAGGTGTCGATGGGAGTGAGATCACGGAAGTTTTCCTTCCGAAGAATACCTCCATAGTGCTATCTGTGAGTATGGTTTCCTATGAAAGGTCTTTGCTATTGACGCGTAGTTGTTCTCTTTCCTTGTACCAGATCTTGAATGCGAATCGATCTGAGGAACTTTGGGGCCCGGGTAATACTTGTCCTCGACTGGTATGTATGAACTACATGTGCTGATTCGTGATCGGATGCATCCAGATGCGCTGGAATGGAAACCCGAACGTTGGCTTGAATCGCTCCCAGAGTCTGTCACCGAATCAAAGATTCCAGGAGTTTATTCCCATCTGTGAGCCGTACAGCCTTATTTCAATCTAGGAATGCTGAATACTTTATATCTCTAGGATGACATTTAGTGGTGGAGGCCGCTCCTGCATGTAGGTTTACTGACCCTCATTCTTCTATTCCATCTACCTTCACTTACCGACTTGATGATCTAGTGGATTCAAATTCTCTCAACTTGAAATGAGTACGTATCTTGCACAAGGTTCCTTATCCGTTCATTAATCCATCGATTCGCAGAGGTCGTCATCGCTATGCTTGTGGAGAAATTTAAATTTTCGCTTCCGCAGGACAAAGAGATATTTTGGCAAATGTCGTCGATATCGACTCCGGTTATTGTAGGGGGAGACGTGCATCCTCAGCTTCCTCTTGTGGTTGAGTTGGTAAAGTAGGTACTAGAAAGAAGTGAAATGCGAATGTACGCATGATTTTGTGGCCGATAATTAATTATGCAGGATCCGTGGTGCACACTTGTCGCTATGCAAGCAGTGCTGTTAAAAAAATCCCTTTGACATTCTTGAGCGAGATTATAAGGGTCATGCATGCAAGTCACAGGGTAAAAAAATGCTACACATCTCGGTGAATGGACAAGTCCGGATTTGAACCGGAGACCTTTCGCAATATATCGTCATGAAGTTCGATGCAAAGCGAACGCGATAACCCCTACGCTACATGCCCATTACAAATTAAGCGCTGTGCAGCTTTACCAGAGCTCTTTCAGTGTCCATCTTGCTTCTCCCTCCCATGTTCAGATTTCCTTCCAAACGTTTATTGCGTAATTTCTCAACGACTCATCGACGGTTGGACGAAGCAGCAACTGAATCCAAAGACTTTCGACCGCCTTGGGTTTACACGTTCGCCAGAATCGGATCGAACGCGTCAATACTCAGTGATTCTTCAAAGAGTTTTTTTTTGTCGGATTTTTTCGTGCTCAGCAATTCCTTGTAGCTGTGTTCGTTTACTCTATCTTTTTCTACGACTTTGGAAACGACGACCATGTCTTTCAACCCGTGTGTTGGGCTATTTATGCTGTCTTTCGTTTATTCATTCAGCTGCTTTTCTTAGGTTCGGAAATGGGCTGCCCAACATACAGCATCTTTATTCTCTCTTTCACCAGCTGAAGAAAGACTGATTGACTCGGAGAAACGCAAAGCTGAAGCTAATGGGGATTCTAAAAGCGTGTCATAGGGTGTACGAATGTAGTGAGTATTTTTGCCAACTCCGCCTGTGCCATCATAACACCCTTAGGTATCCTATGTCCGATGATAATCCATTCCGCTCAAAGCCCGAAAATGTGTACGGAAATCGTTATCCATTCCAGACTCCCGGTATGATTTCACAAAAGATGGTTACAGAACTCGAACCAAGGGCAAAATTCTTCGCCGCAGTTCATTTCAAGTTCCCACTGAGATCTGTCTCTTGCTCCCGATGAGAAGAGGGTCATCATGTAACTGTTATCTAAAGATAATTTCCGAATGTGACAATGGACTGTATCGAATGCTATTTCCGATGTAGTTAGGCTGCGTTATACGAAGGCTACAGCTGTGAGAGAACCTGTTGAAACCGTAGAGAATGTATCGCTTCGAAGGCGTATACATCTAATGCGCCGAGTATGTACACAATGGAAGGAATTTAAGCTGTGAACTGGCTGCGGTTGCGCTGTGGAAGGCTCATAGACGCCCAAGGGCTACATGTCCTTATCTTATCTCGTACCCACGGCCCCTGAACCAATTTTTTTTCAGCCAACAGCAATGTTTGCTCGAGTCAGACGCCACCATACACGCTCCTTCTCCGTTACCTTCACGTCCCCCACGTTCACTTAACGTCCTACCAGATTTAAAGGTTTCTCTTCTTCCCTCACCATGAACAAGAGTGTCAAGGACGTTGCTGCCGGAACCGCTGGGGGTATTGCCCAAGTTCTCGTCGGTCAGCCATTTGATATCGTTAAAGTGGTGAGTATAATTTCCTTTGAAGCTCTACGATGGGAGTATCATATGTTCAAAGACATTATCATCGTGTTTCACGCTATATTGAACAATGAAGCGAATGCAAACCGCGCCGAAAGGAACTTATTCGGGTATGGTCCACTGTGCCGGAGGGATTCTCAAGAACGAGGGGCCGTTGGCCTTTTACAAGGTATTTCTATTTCCGTGATTTTAGCAGAAGCTTTTTGAACATTTCCATTATCCAGGGCACCCTCACACCCCTTCTCGGAATCGGAGTCTGTGTCTCAATCCAGTTCGGTGTTATAGAGTACATGAAGCGTCTCTTCACCCAACAAAACCTCGCTGCTGGAACCGGTGGTCCAGAAGGCAAAGACCTCAACGCTGCCCAGCTAGTTGCGTCAGGTGTCGCCGCAGGATTAGCAAATGGTTTCGTGTCAGGTCCGGTCGAACATATTCGTATTCGTATGTCTCTTCCTTGTCTCTACTGCGTTGCGCTATTAACGCGGATGGATTGATCAAAGGTCTCCAAACACAACCCTCCGTTAACCCACCTTATAACGGCCCGTTTGACGCCATGAAGAAGATCTACACTGCACATGGCATCCAAGGTATTTTTAAAGGCCAAGGCGTGACGTTCCTACGTGAGGCTACCGGGTACGGTGTGTACTTTTTGGCATACGAGAAACTCGTGCAACGCGAGATGCGGGTGAAGGGGATCAAAAGGGAGGAATTGAGTGCAGTGAACGCAGTGCTGTATGGGGCTGCAGCCGGATATGCTGTATGTATACTTATATGTGTTCTATTCCTCGACTCGGAGCTGAACACACCAACAGCTATGGGCAGTCATTTATCCCATCGACATGGTAAAATCGCGAATGCAAACTGATGGCTTTACCGTTGCGACCGGAAGGAGATACGCTACCTCCCTTGATTGCGTGAGGCAGGTGTTGCGAACGGAGGGTCCGAGGGCGTTTTTGAGGGGTTTAGCCCCAACGTTAATCAGGTGATTATCTTTGGTCTTCCGTTTCGCGAAATGTTCCTTATGGTAAATCTCGATGCAGGTCACCCTTCGCAAATGGCGCAACCTTCCTAGGGTTTGAGATGGCCAACCAGTTCTTAAATTCATTCTGAACTTTATGAATGCTTCTCGCTGTGAACGATGATAGAAGGGACTTCCGTATCTAAATGCCTATCTGACTTATATCTAGACCGCTTTAGATAGTTTGCATAATGTACATTCTATTTATTGTTAGAGTTGACACTGTCGAGTGCAGCGCCCGGATAACCAATGCCACTCCCTTCTGGCATCTCCATGACTGCCTGTGAGCAGGCTGTTGCTAACACAGAATTAAACACTTGTACGGCTGACCGCCTTGCTATACTCTAGGTTTGTCGCTCGCACAAAAAAAGCTTCAGTCTTTAACACACAGTTCACATGTACAAGCGCATGGTGACGAGGAACCGCCATGTATGCCCCAACAGGCTCAGCTTGACATGTTACGACACTACCTCAATCCCCTCCGATCTATCTACTACTGCTTGCTTGCTTTTCCCTCTTCTACTTGGCGGTACGGGTAATTTACAGACTCTTCTTTCATCCGCTTTGCAGATATCCTGGGCCTATATTGGCAGCGGTCACCGGATAATACGAGGCCTACTACAACATCATCAAAGGTGGAGGACTTCTAGTTGAAATTGAAGTACTTCATCGACGACATGGTTAGCGGCAACCCCCTTCCTCTTATGGCCAACCAGCTAACTTGCAAGCTGCAGGGCCCGTGATCAGAATCGGTCCAAACACCGTGAGCATCAAGCACTTCAGGCTTTGGCAAAAATGTTTTATATGCCGATTCTCTTCCGCGTATGCAGCTGCATTTCAACTATAGACAGGCTTTCCATGATATTTACACATACGGATCGACCTTGACCAAGGATCCTGAATTCTATCTTGCTCTTGCTGCTCATGCCTCCGAAAGCATCGTAGCTCTATGTGATCCCCAAGAGGCAAAAGACAGAAGAGCATTGCTAGGACCATTATTCTCTCGTAAAGCAGTGGCGGAGCTCGAGTACACCATCCAAGAAAAGGTCAGAGCTTTTCACGATGTATATCGCACCACCTGACATCCGTGCTAATTTTGAAGTTGACAAACTTGTGGCAGCACTTGCGGAACATTACAACTCCAAAAATTCTGCTGCTGCACTAGATACTGCGTTCCGAGCTTGCACCACCGACATTATCACAGCTTAATGTTTCGCTGTGTCAACCGACAGTCTCGACGTTCCAAATTTTGCTCACGAAGTCCTGATACTACTCAAGAAGGTGTTCATAAATGCATGGTATCAACGACATTTCCCTTTCATCTACACCCTCGCCAACAGCGCGCCTACAAAGTTCATTTTGTGGCTTTTCCCCGAGTTCCGAATTTATCTCGAATTGAGTGCCAAATTCGGGGGTCAGATTGACCGAATTATGAAGGACCCCGAGTCCGTTTCGAGCGCTGAGCATAGGACTGTTTTTCATTACCTTCTGGAGCCAAAAGTTCGGAAACGCCTATCCAAGCGAACCCTCACTCTTGAAGCCTTCCTTCTTGTCAATGCCGGCAGTAAGACTGTGGCCAGTACTTGCTATGTAGGGACATTCTACGCTCTGAAGATTCCGACCATTTGCAAGCGCCTTTTTGATGAACTCTGCGAAGCATGGTCTGATCCTGACAGACCGATACCTTACGCCACGCTTGAGAAGTTACCATATCTGGTTCGCGAACAACAGCTTTGACTTCATATTTGAGTCAGTGATACTATCTATCCTTCTACGCAGACTGCATTCATCAAAGAAGCTCCTCGATCTTCTATTAGCGCCGTTCATCCACTTCCTCGTGTAGTTCGTCCCACAACTCCTTCAATAGGTGGATTGAAGATCCCGCCAGAGGTGAGCATCGTTCAACTTTTCGTAGCTTCAAGTTCTGTACTCATGCAGGGTTGTGTTTTTTTTTTTACAAGACTGTCGTGGAAATGAGCCAATTATTTCTACACATGAACCCTTCTGTGTTTGCTGACCCTCGAAATTTTAATCCGGATCGTTGGTTGGCTGAGGATACCACTGAAATGATGCTCGATCTAAGCCCTTTCAGTAAAGGACCTCGGATATATGGTACGCAAAACCTATTGGGTTCAATCGATAGTTGATGGCTCACCGTAAATATTTCAGTCTAGGGCTCAAGTACGTTCTCCGCTCCTTATCGAGAATTGAATCAATTCACTAACTCTCGAGCTTAGCCTAGCATGGTTTGAGTTGTACCTCATTTTTGGCAACAACTTCCGTAAGCTCGATATCAAGCTTGCGATTGATAAGGATATGTATGTACCGTTGTTCTGCCCCCCCCCCCTCTCTCTTCCTGCGATGTTATGTTGACCTCCAAACGTTGCAAGATTGAGGATTTCAGTCGAGATTGCATTAATCGTTATGTACCAGATTGGCGAAAAGGATATAAGGCGTATGTGGAGAAGGTGCATGGGTACGACTAAGGCAGAAAGCGCCACTAGGAACTTGATGACAGGTATTTGTAACAATCACTGAAGTGTACAGAATGCGAGATCCGAACGCCTCGTAGGAGATGAGGATGCGGAAATCAGAGTGCGAGTGTTGTGAGAGTGCGGTATAACGAAATGTATTGATAGCTCCCAAGTTGGTCGCGATTAGGGCAGTTGTACAGCTGACCACTTTTCTATACT